AGGGTCGATAACAAAATTCGTTATTTCGTGGAAAATCCGTTTGAAAATTTGAAAGCCCGGTTGGGTCGCCGGTCGAAAAACGAATATCGGTCGCGGCACGGCGCGACGTCGATTGGTCCGATGAATTTCGCGGCATCGCGGTTCGCATCGGTCATTACACCTAATGGTTTAATACTTGCGATACAAAATTACGTAGCCGGCTATATTTGACAGAATCGGGTCGAAATGTTGGCCGGGCAATAATAATCAAGCCGTCCAAGCTCGATCTCGTTTAGCGCTGCACTCAGCTTTAATTACATCGCTTGTCATGCCTGTTTACCGCCGGAGACATGTGTATTTTGCCCTCTATAATGCATCTCACGGATCGAACTAGCAGAAAATTTGCCAGACCGTGCTCGATACCCTTTTCGTTTATAAAATTCCAGCGAAACCGCTGGATCGTTTCTCCAAATTTCACTCGTCGCTTCTAAACGCTCTATTCGCCTCGTATACGATCGAATCACGCCGTTTCCAACGAAGAAAACGTAGCAAAGATATGGCGAGGTCGAGAGAAAAAGGAGGGAAATGTACACACGAAATTTCGGCCGCTCATCGCCCGGTCGTTTCTCTTTCGTCGTTTCGTCGCAATTTGCCCAGCGATCGCGGCAGGCCTAGCGGATGGAAAAGAGACGGAGAGGATCGATGTTCGTTTAAAAATTATAATATTAAATGGCGTTCATTTGCTGCGAAATATTCTCCATTATCGTGCCGCGCAACAATCCATTAACTCGGAAAATAAGAGCGGATGACAAAGCTTTTCTTTTATCGGGGCGAGAGGAATTACCGAGCGTACACCCTCCTCTCTCTCTCTCTCTCTCCCGCCTTCCTCTAGCCAGTTGCCGGCAGGAAGAAGAAAAAAAAGAGGAGGAGGAAAAAGTAAGGGAAACAAGTAGAAGAGAGGAGAGAGAGAGAGAGAGAGAGAAAAAGGAGGGAGAATAAAGAAGTTTGACGTGAAGGGTAGCAGGGGCTAAGCGAAAATATTGGTCGCACTCGTTCGAGCGAAATCAAAGAGGAGAGAAAATCAATTCGCGTGGTTCACGTTGGGAAAGTTAATGCGAATTAAAATCCAATTCCGTGGACGAGGAGGGAACCCATTTCCAAAACGTTTGCTCCTTCGTGGCCGGGGAAAACAGGAAGTCCGTGTAGCAACGAAGTTGACGAAGGGACAGAAGGAGGAGGGGTGGGTTAGGTAGTTTACATGGAGCAAAGGGAAATGTTTTGCGCGACCGGCATAAATATTTAACAAACACGCGAACGCGTTCATCGACGATGAAATATATTTCCCTCCTGGTCCCGCCGATGTTTTTCCACGGCTTCGTTCCGTGCCGACTGCCGCCGCAGCGACCCTTTCATCGTTTCAATAATGAAACAAGAAAACGCGGATTTTGTTGTAATGAAATTTTTCCAAGGAAAATAATCCATCTGGACGTGTCACGCCGGTGGACGTTTGAAAAATATCACGAATCGAATATCAGGTAGGGAAATATTTCTGTAGGAATAAAAAACCGGTTGACGAAAGGTTCTCCCTGCTACGCCCGAGCGATAGATCACGGGAACAGTTTTGAAGAGAAACGTGTTTCCAAAGTTAACACAGTTAACTGTATATCTTTACGATGTGAAAATGACACGAGAGTTAACGCCGCGGTGTTCGAAAACGGCGTAGAGAAGTTTGCCTGACGGTGTGTATGTATTATATATATGTATATGTATACAGGGGAGGAAAAATATCCTCGGAAGGCTAGTTCTTGTTTTTCCCCTTTTTTTCCAAACAGAGCGGGAGAGAAAGAAGGAGAGAACGTCCTCCCTGTTTGGAGGAGGGCGGCCAGTCCACGCCCCCTTTCACTGCCAAAAGTTATTTCCGCTGGAAATTTATCGCTCTGCCGAGAATCGAGGCGTCATTTCCGGGCGAACGAAACAAAGAAAGCGTCGACCCGACTCGTGCGAAAGATAATTGGCGTGCCATTCTATCGTGTCCTTTTTCGCCTCTACACCACCCCTGACCCCTCCTCCCTCGCTTTCCCTCTTTGCCTCCTAGCATAGCCACCCCTGCAGATTTCTTTCCGGAAGAGCTGTGTACGGTTGCGCAAGCTGACGATTGTTAAATGTACCTACGCCTCGGCTGATTTATTCCCCCGGAGCCTTCGAAGGAGAGAGAAACCTTGGATATTTATCGTCCCTTTCCGACGTTGCGGTAAATAATGTGTTTGCTCTTTAACGCGATTTATTTCGAAGCCACGGTTCAAAGTGTTCCATAACGTATTGTGTATACTTTCCCGACCGTGTCGCTTTTGCCCAACTTCTGCTCCAGCGACGAAAAGGAAAAAGGAGAAAGAAGACAAGGCTATCGCGATGCTTTTTCTCGGTGCTTTTCGCAAAAATTTTCCGTTTACGTTATTGCGTTGCTCGCGACGATACAAATTGCGGCCGGGCCGTGTGCAGGACGCGCGGTCGGCGAAATTTCGTTCCACGCTTTGGACATCGTCACGGAAAGTATCCTCGCGGAAAGCCAATATCGCGTAATTAAATTTTCGATGGTCCGAACACGGAAAGTAGCGACGAGATTGCGTACGCAATGCACATAGAATGGGAAATTTTCGTGATCGATTAGACGGTCTGGCGAGCGGCCGCCATTCCCGTTCGAAGAAGTCGTTCGCGGGTGTCTGTCGATTGATTAATTAAAAAGTTGCAAGTGCCGCGTCGAGGAGCCACGCTCGCGATTCGCGGCATGATAACGCGGCCATCTCCGTTTCCTCTTCCCGACGAGAAAGAGAGAGAGCGACGTCGACACGCGATTCATGGCCAACGCGCGCGTCAATTAAATTTAATTGTCCCGGTAACTTTTGCTGACTGGTAGAAGGAACGATCTCTCTCTGACTCTCTCGAGCGCGGGCGAGGAAGCTGTCGGGGAGTTCTTGAACACGAACCTGTGATTCGACGTCTGACGGATATTTGGCCCGGTTTTCCGCGCGAGTATTTACTCGCACGCACGGCCCCGCGCGAAATTAGAGCGACGGGAGAAGGGGGATGGAGAATAGAAATGGTAACGAAGAAACACGATTCGCTGGAGCTACACACAGGGGAAAATTCAGAAACATTATTAATTCCCCATTGTACACAAGCGACCCTTGATAAATTTCGATTATATTAAGTGCGGTATTTTACGAGGTGGATGTAACAAAGCGCGCTGGAAATTGAACGAAAAGTGGAAAGTTACAGGGCGACCACTCATGGAACTTTGCTACTTTGCCATTGAAATTCGCGGGCCGGCAGCAATCCCGCAATACATTGTCAAAAGTTTCGCTCGACGAACGTAATTAACGATCGTCGAAGTTCGCGATTTGTTCTCCCGATCGAAACACAAAGAGAAGGTGAGAGGGAGAGGGAGAGAGAAAGAGAGAGGGTGAGCTCGAAGGGTGAGCCCAGCCCTTAGCCCGTTCATTTGGCCAGGACCTTGGTATCGGGGAATCGCCTAACGAGTCGGAAGAATCAAGTCTCCTTTGACCGGGAGTCGCCTTTGCCCCGACGCAATACATGTCTAATTAACCATAAAAATAACGAGATTTTTGTGGCCAGACCTGTCGAAACGAGCATCGAAATTGATTTCCCAATTGCATCAAGAATAAAAGGGACCTTTTTTTTTTTCCACCGCGAACCAAACTCTCGTGAATTAATTTCTCCTCTGACGATGATAAATTGTGCAATTTCATGCTTCGCGTGTACCTAACTTGTTGACAGACTCGAAAAACGAAGAAAAACTCTACACCTTTGAACCATTTATAATATAATGCCAGGCAAAACAATAAAATTCATCCTCGACAGCACGGGCCTGAGAGAGAAAATCCTTCGCGTCGGCAAACAGCTCTTCGCAACAGGGTGGAAGTTTCCTTGCCGGCGAAAAGGGAGGTCGAGGGAAAATTTGAAAGGCGAAAAATCGATGGCTGACGGCAAATATTCCGTCACGTCGCGGCAGAGTCCGCGGTGTTTGTTTAGCATCTTGGATTCTTGCCCACCCAGAGCCGCCTCATTAAGCCCGAAAATAATACCGCGGCCGAGCGCAGTTCGTCCCAGAGACAACGCTACCAACCAACACAGTGATAGAGTGGATTCTATCGCGAAGCTTCGCCAAGATAGCGACCGGCCAGGGAAGCGGTTGTTGCTAGGCGGAGAGAGAGGGACAAGCCCGAGGGTGCGACGTCAGATTTGTCTCGTTAGGGTTCGCATTGTGCCTGCCTGTGGCCGATTTACGCTCTCTCGTTATGCTCGTTCGCCCTCTCCGTATATATATGCACGTTCTCGAACCCTTGGCCACCTTTCTTTTTCCTTCTCGCTATCTAACGAGCCTCCGTTGAACCCGCATCGCCCACGATCTTGTATTCACCCATATCCTTTCTCACTCCTCGGTGACTTTCCCTTGCCTATTTCCCGATATTTCACCAGGAATGCTACGGATTTTCGGTTTGGAATTTCAACGGGATGTCTCCTAATCTTTTTACGATCGATCGAATTTTTGCGGCAAGGTAACATCGTTAGGGAAGATCCATAGACCCGATCGAAAGTTTCTTGCCGATCTACGCGGGAACAGGTAATTTGTAATTCAACTGATCTCCGGTCCGGGATGTTTCTCGGTAACTCGGCTGCTTAAGGTGTCTTCCAGCGAGAGTTTATAGACGGATCGTTTATCAGGATGCCGGGGAATAACCCCTAATCGATTCAGAACGCGCGTCGATAAATTTCCTTTTTTCTGCTCTGAGATTTTTCTGCTCT